GGGGGGCGGGGGCGGGGGGCTGGGGGGGCGGGGGGGGGGGGCACAGTAGGCAGGGCTCCTAGCCAGGGCCAGGACAGCGGTCTGGAAGCGAGGTGAACTGTCGGTCCTTAAATATACAATGCTCCGTTTGGGAAAAAAAAAAATCAACAACAACAAAAAACCTCAACAACAAAAAGAAAGTTTTCATGGGGAAGGGGGAGAAAAAGTGAAGGGGGGAGAGAGCGGAGAAATAGTGCAAAATGCTCTTGTACTAGTGGTTTTCGAAGTCCACTGCAGTACAGACAAGGGGTAGCCCAGCCGCTGCGCGCCGCTCCCTGGGGAGATGTGGTGGAAAGGCTGTCCTGACCTTGCGCCATCCTTGTGCTCTCCTTCCCAGCCAGCATCCCGGCTACCGGCACGGGCTCGGTGCAAACACCATGGCTGGAGACCCCCAAGCCTCGCACCTCCCCTTGATGCACAAATTGCCAGCATCTCCCCATGTGCCTCAACCCCCCTGCACCCTCCCCAGCTCCCAACTCTGCCCCTTTTGGTTTTCTCACTCAAATGCAAGAGTGCTGCTGGGTGCTGAGAACGGGAGCACCTTGTCACTGCCACCCCAGGGGGTGGCCAACCCCTCCTGAAGCCGCTCTCGCTCCCCAGCCCAACCCCGGTCCTAAATATTAGTGCAGCCTGCAAACAGCCTCGTCCTGCCCGGGATCCACAAGGGAGTGGGTGGCTGGGGGGTTGCTCGGTGCCCTGTCCCGGGAGTCGAGGTGGCTTCGGGGGGGGGCGAGGGTGGCGCAGCCCCTTCCTCACATCCTCCTTCCCCCAGGTTGGTGAGGACAGGACAGGCAGTGCCATCCCAGTGCTGGATGTGCAGGAGGGAGGGAGGCTGTGCAGGATGGATTTTGGTGCTCTGGGCTCCTGGGGCCATGGCTGAGACTCACTTTGTAGAGGGAGGTTGGGGTGGCACCCTGTGTCCCCCTCCCAATGTCACCGTGGTGGCCACATCATGAGACCACCACTGGGCCCCCAGCTGGCCTGCATCCCCTGTGAGCTGACCCTCGGTCTGCAAAAGCATCAGCCCTAAAAGACAAGGTCCGTGGGGAGCTGCCGTCCCTCTGCCCGCTCCCATCCTGCCCTGGCGGCACGTCTCCTTTCTCTGCAGCCAAAGGCTTTCAAGTTATGGGAAATCAAACAACAAAACAAACAAACAAACAAACAAAAAAGCAAGAAAGAGGGAGAGAGGAGGGAAGGGTCCTGGGGAAGGTGGTACTGGCCTGTAACAGTCAGGAGGTTTTTCATGGGGATCAGCGAGCAGAGGAGATGGGAGACAGTGGCGACAATGGCGGCCTGTGGCCCTTGGGGTTGGCACAGGCTCCTCCTCCTCTGCCACCTGCCTTCTTTACCCCATTCTTCACCCCAGCTTCACCATACCATTAAACACCCACCCTCATCAAACCGACCCTGCTCCACCAGCCCTGCAGAGCCTGGAGGGGTCCCTCCCTTGTCCCAGCACCCGCCATGCTCCCCTCCAGCAACAAAGGGGGTCATCCACTCCTGTGGGTTTTTTGGGGGGACAGATCTGCATTTGGTGGCACCCCCTTTCTTTTGGGTAAGGGAAGACACCTCGCCCCCAGCTCCAAACGTGCCCCACTGGGTCTCCATAGCAGTCCGTCAGCGATACTCGGCCCCACCATAACTCTGGGGGAAACAGCTGTGGGGTGTCCAGTCCTGCCCTCAACTGGGGCAAGTGTCCTGGTGGGGGGCCCGCGGGGTGCTTGGGGGGGGCAATGCCATGCCGTGGGAGGCTACGAGGGTGCCCAGTCCGTGATGGAGAGGAGCCTCTGCTGGAGCCCCTCAATGCTGAATCCCCCCTGTCCCATCCCCACTGGCGCTGCGGACTCCTTCTCCTCCCTGCCCAGCTCTGGCATGCTCAAAGGGACTTTGAGGGTGCAGAAACCTTCCCCCTGAGATCAGCCGTGTCCTTTGGGCAGTGCTGGCTGCCAGCTCCAACCATGGCAGTGGGATGTGGTCCCTGGTGGGTGCATGTTTGCCCACTGGGACCACAGCACCCAGACCCCGGCTTGCTTTCCTTTCCTTCCTTCCTTTCGCTGCAGGTTCTCCTCCGAGCACCAACATCCTGGAGACCCTTGTCATGGGGAAATGAGAGGCAACAGTCCCAAAATCAAACATAAAAATTAAGAACAACAAAAAATTCAGGAAGGCAGCTGAGGGCTGTCTCAGCACGCCTGAGTCAGTGGGTCTCCACGGCATGGTGGCTGCTGTCACTCAACAAGGAGCTGGATCCCAGGTTAAAGGTGAGGGCCTGTCGCAGGATCTTATTGCAGGGTGGCAGGAATCAGCTGTGGCAATGTAAGTAAGTAGTATCCTCAATGCGAAAGGACGGAGACCATTGTTTTCCTACCCATGGGGAAGGCTATAAACCAGCCTTAACAAAAATCCAAGACAAAACAAAGTATAGGTTTGTTTTTTTTTTCCCCTGGAGCAAACCACTTTTTTGGCTGTGAAAAAAAATAAAATAAAATAAAAATCTCCATAGTTGTTCTTCCTCGTGGCGGCAAAGGGTGGTGAAGAGTTTTGGCCCCGATCCCCCTGTCCCCACATAGGGATGCTTCAGTCTGGACAGCGATGGACTATCTGTGGGGTTGGCTCGGATGCAGCCGTCGACGTCGGCTCCCGTGCTCAGTCGGGCAGGTTATTATTACTTTTTGAGAGGGGGAAGCACCTCTCCCCCTGCTTACAGCTAAGCCCTCCAGATTGCAGGTTTCAAGGTGAAGTTTTGCAAGGAGGAAAAGCCACGTCCGTGCACACACACACGCTCACAAACACGCACATGCATGCAGGCGACAAACGCTTCCACACCTGGATGGACAACGGTGAGAGTCCCGCTTGTCCAAAAAAGATTTCTGACCTCCCGTTTGAGAGGAACCGGACGAAGAAGGATATCTTGCCTTTTTGGATGATTTCTTTTTGAAGTCCACAAATATTTTTTGGGGGGAGTTATTCACGCTGTTGCAGGAGCTGTTTTGCTCCCCGGCTCATCTCCAGACACGAAGCCAGCAGTCCCACTCCTCCTCCTGACGTGTTGAAATCTGCCTGGATCCAGGGTGGTTGTTTGAGACTGAAGTCAAATCAAATTGACTCGAGTGAGTCCCAGCGATGTGGGGAGGAGACTCCAGAGGAGCGCAGCGAGGAGGGGGAACGCCAATGGCCACAAGGATTTCTCTCGAGGCTCTTTAGAAAATTACTGGCTAACCCAAAAAAAAAACCAACAACTAACCAGCCCGAAACCTGTACTGGAAAATCACCAACTCGGAGAGCTTCCTACATCGGGGTGGCCTCTGCTCGCGGCAGGGGGGGCGCGGGTGGCGCTGGGGAGAGGCATGGGATGGCGGAGCGGCCGCAGCTGGTTTGTCTCTGGCTCTGTCCTTTCCTTGCTGAGTCCTTGTTGTCAAGAGGCTGCTGTAGATTCCGAGTCCTCAGTTTCTTCAGGGTTTGTTTTTCTCTTCTTTTCTTTTCTTTTCTTTTCTTTTCTTTTCTTTTCTTTTCTTTTCTTTTCTTTTCTTTTCTTTTCTTTTCTTTTCTTTTCTTTTCTTTTCTTTTCTTTCTTTCTTCCTTTCTTTTCTTTTTTTCCTTTCTTTTCCTTTTTTCTTTTCTTTTTCTTTTTCTTTTTTCTTTTCTTTTCTCTCTTTTTGCTTTTCCTTTCTTTACTTCTTTCTTTCCCTTTCTCTTTTTTCCTTTTCCTTCCTTTCTCTTTTTTCTTTTCCTTCCTTTCTCTTTTTTCTTTTCCTTTCTTTTTTTCTTCTTACATGAGATGAAAGGAATCGGAGTCCCGGGGCGCGGGGAGGTGCGGAGGGGAGGGTGGAAGGGAGCCTGGGTAGGTAGTGATGGGGTGGAGGGAGGGGACGCAACTTCACTCCACGTTGCTGCTGTCAAACGCGTGGCACTGCAGGTCTCCGCTCAGGTAGTCAGTCCCCGGCAGCTTCATGCCGTATTTGTCCACGCACCAACACAACCCACGCTTCCGGCCTCGGGAGGGCTTGCACTGGGGAGACACCCAAGGGCAGAGATCAGGAGCTGGCCACCAGACGCCGCGTGGCACCCTTGTGCTGGGGATCTGGATCAGCCCTGCACTTTGCCCCTTTCACCCCAGCGATGCAATCCCCTGGGTAGAACCTAGCTCCTGCTCTCTGCTTTCAGCACATTTCCATCCCTGCTGCTACCCCAGCCCAGGGTGCTCTGACTTTGTCCTCCCACAGCATCTCCTTCAGGGTGCTTGCCTCAGGCCAGATGGCACTCAGAGCCATCAGCAAGGCCACCCACCACCAACCATGCCTGGAGATGCTCACAGCAACCTCCCCACCAGCCTAGCAGAGGAAAAAACCTCCATCCTTTCCATCCAGGGCAGCAGACCCTCCCTGTGTGGGAAGCAGCCCTCTGTGAGGCTCGCTCTTACCTGCTTCCTCTTGTAGAAGCCTTTTCGGTCGCAGTTGGGGAGGTGGACAGCGCGGGGGACCATCCGCTGGCTGCTCTTGAGCTCCTGCAGGGATGCCTCCATGTGCCTGCGGCAGGGGCCCTGTGAGCAGGGAGAAGATGAACCGTGAGAAGGGAAGCACCCTGCAGCAAGCCTCCAGCTGCAATGCCCCCAGGTCCCCTGTCGCCCCCACCAGCACCCACTCCCCAGGGATGCAAAGCTCTCCCGCAGCCCCCTGCCCACAGGAGCCCTGCAGAGGGAAAGCAAAGGCACCCACCAGCTCAAACTCTTGCCGGAGCTCGGGGATGACAACGCGGGGGTGCGCTGTGTTCTCCGCCATGCCCACGAACTTGGCCAGGGTCAGCTTCTTCCGGCGGTCCTTCTTCAGGGCCTCAGCCTTGAGCTCGGAGAGGCGCCCATGCTTGGGCCGGTAGGCCTTGGGTGGGTAGGTCTCCTCTGTCATCTCCGACGTGGTTGGCTCCTCATGCTCTCGGGACTCCCGTTCTGGAACGGAAGGTGTACCAAACCATTAGGTCTCCATGAGCTGACTGGGGCTTGCTTTTGCACAGAGAGCCTCCTGTCTGACCCCAGAGGACATCTTTGCACCAAGCAGAATAGGGATAAATGACCAAAGAAATCCCTTTCCCAGCTGCTGCCTACAGCCCTGGCTTTATCCCACTGTGTGGGACTTGGCATGGCTTTTGTGTGACCCCCCGAGCTCAGGACAGGAAGGTGTCCGCGGGCGTGGAGGAGCTGGGGGTCAAGATGGGCTCCTACATACAAGGTCACCATCGTTTGCAGTGTGTCAGTGAAGAAGGACTGGTAGGAGGGTTAGGACCAGATGACACACAAAATGTGGCAGAGAAGCCCCTCTTTAGCCATGGTGAGAGGATTAAGTAACAAATTCACACCCCACTCTGCCTTGCAGATGCAAGAGCAAAAGCTCGAAGATGAGACAACTCCAAAGTCAAGGCCAATCCCACAGCAAAGCCACCATGTGATGGGGCAGACACTTTGGCAGTGATGCCGAAGACACAGCTGACAAGTGCTGGGATCTCCAGGGTCCTCAGTCTGCAGCCCCATGCTCACTTGACTGAACCATTCCCTGTCTGCTGGCACCCACCAAGCAGCCAGCAAAGCCCAGGGTAACACTGCCGAGCGGTGCTGCCTGACCGTAGCTGCCACCAATAGTACCGACGGCAAGGGAGGAGCGCGTTTAGGCTCTGCCCACAGCAGTCGCCTTCCTATACAACCCCCCGGATCGCCCCAGAGTGACCTGTGCTGGCAGGATGCAGTCAGGAGCCCTGCATGGTTATATATAGGAGAGAGCTGGTGACAGTCTAAACTTAGATGACTTGTGACATTTAGTACAGCCACTGGAGTGAAAAAAGGGTTATTTCTGGACTAAATTTGAATAGAGTTTAAAGCTCCTGAGGCTCCCGGTCTCCCAGTCCCTGGTTCCCAGCAGCCCTGTGCTGATGTCAGGTTTGTGCTCAGCACAGCAAGCAGGCACAGGGGAACCCACTGCAGCAGGAGGAAAAGCAGCTGAAATCCCTCCCTGCACGGTGTCTCCTGTGACTTCGATGGCAGTGAACCCAGCTCATCCCCTCCTGAAACCCTATGGTGAAGATAGCAGGGCGCCAATTTTGCCCTTCCTTGCAACACCACTGTTGGGACAAAAGAAAAAGGTTCAGTATGAAAATAGAAGTGGGTAACCCCCCATCACCACCCAACAAAGCAAACAGGAGTCTCCCTGCAGACTGGCTGCTCCCTGGAGGCCAGATGCACCCCTGGGGGGAGGAGGATGGCTCTGCCCCACCAGGCCACCCAGGGGTGCCCGGGGGATGCTCGGCGAGGGGGGACAGACGTGCTGCTCAGCGGCAGATGGCAGCACCGGCCTGTCACACCCCCCCAACCGGGTGGCCTTGGAGGTGGCTGAGGGGACAGGCTGCTCACTGGACCCCCAAGCCTGCCACGGCTGCCAGTCTCCCCTCCCTCCTTCCCAAGGCGGACCTGCCCTCTCCCAGCAAAACTGGAAAGTTTTTCCATGGCCACTTATTTATTAAAGCAGCCTTTTTTCTTCTCTTTCCGCAAGAACAGAGCTGGGTCAGCATCCCAGACTCAGCGCCCTCCTAACTGCCCACAGCAATGTAAATAACTCCATGCACCATCCCCGGGACTCACATGGATCCCCAGGATGGGATTCTCTTGCCATTTTGCCCCATATGCTCATATGTTTGGGGGTTTTTTCTTGCTGCAGGACTCAAAGGCCCCCACAGGTTGGGGCTCCTCTATTATAAGGGGATGACAGACAAGGGATAGGGAAGAAATTGATTACATTGGGAATGATCTTGTCCCCCAGAAAATGACACTGTACAAGGTGCAGTAGAAGAGCATCCTTTGCCACAGAGTTGTTGTGGAAATCCGAGGTCCAAAAGGAGACCGGAGATATCCGCAATGACTAAGCCCTTCCACGGCAATGAAACATGCTGTGATCTGTCCCGGGAATCCCCTCTGGGACTGACTGCCAGGGCTGGACACCGCAGAGCCAGGGCATCTCCCTGGGCTGCCCTACAGTAATTAAGGGGAGGGGAGGATTCACACCGGTGCAGGCAACCCTACAATAACACAAGGGGCACAGCTCATTACCTCTGCAATAACAAATATGAGAGGCACAGCTGGGCAAACCTAAAATAACAAACAAATGAGACAAGGCAGTGAGGATTCAGTCAGAAAAACAGCACAGGGTGTCCAGTCCCTGGGACTCGTGCTGCAATGGGTGTTTGCAGCAGCTCAGCCTGTTCGTATGGTCAGCAGCTTCAGCCTCTGCAAACACCTTATTTCTCTGCTTCCTGCAAGCTGCCAGCCAGCCAGAGCAGGCTGGGAGCTGGGGACTAACATGGAGCCCTTTCGGCAAGGGGAGATAGGAGCCACAGGAGCCCAGTGCTCTGCAGAGGGAGCGGAGAGCTGGCACGCACTGAAAGCCGCCCAGCTCCCAGCCTGAGTCCAGTGCCTCCTGCAGGGCACGCACGGGTCCCTGCTCAAGTAGTGATACAACAAGGGATGGCTGTGGTGGGACTCCTCTGTCTGCTGCTCAGCAGTGCTGTCTAGTTAGGGTCTTTTATTTTCCAGTGAGAACCCCATGGATGCCTTGGAGGGATCCCTTTCCTCTGCCCTCTGATGTTTTTTTATCGCCTAATTTCCTTCAGCAACAAGGTTGAAGCAGTCCCTGCTCATGCACTCGACTATCTGTTCCCTCATTTGATACTAACAAGACAATTTTGACAAACTGAAGGGCAGAGGTCTCTGACACATGAACTCCTGACAAACTCTGGGCAGCTGGTGAGGGACCTTCCCAGTGCCAACGCAAGCTCCCCTGCTTCGCCTCCTGGCCGGCTCACCCACATCAACCTGCAGCCACTCGCTGCAGCCGGGACCAGACACCCACGTCAGCATCCCCAGAGCCCCTGCACCCACCTGCCCATCCTCATCCACCAGCTCGTTCATTAACCTCCATCTGCCACCCCGGGGCTGGCTCGTGGCAGGCAGTGCTGGCACCATTGCACCTCTGCTCCTGAGGAGACGCCAGCAGGAGCAACGCCCAATTTCCACGAATGAGCCGTAATTGTGCCTGTCTGAGACTCAGGAAGGAGGCTGGAGTTCCTCCTCCCTCGCTGTCAGGATCTGTCCCGCTGCACAGCCCATTCCTGCCTACTCCCATCCGCCTTGCCAACCCAGCGATTGGGTTTCAGGCAGGCAGCTGTTTGCAGAGACAGAGCATGCTAAATCTCCATATTTCAGCTATGGGTGCAAGGCACGGGCAGGAAGGCCCTACTCACCATGTCCCCAGCTGGGGGACAGTGGGAAGCAGGAGGTGGGTGGCTCTCACATCTCATCCCTTTTCCCCACTCCTCAGGAGGAGGTGACCTCTCAGCGGAGGTCCCAGGCTCACTGGCCACACAGAAGAATGACATTGCTGGCCAAGCTGAGGATGCCTGGCTAGCCTGGAGGTAAGACCTGGGCTGTAGCCACCTCAAGGGGATGTTGACCCTACAGCCAAGGCAGGAGACGACCCAATTCAGAGCCACCCCATGGCTTCGTGTCTGGTCTGATGCTGCAGTGCCCATGGAGGAGCCAGGGAAGGAGGGGCAAGCATCTGGAGAGGCTCCTGACACAAGTCAGGCCAGCAGGACTGTGTTGTTGATGTCCTAATTCATGCAGGCAGGTTCCCATGAGACCTGGGAGGCAGAAAATAGCCATATCAGAGAGTGGGCTGTCCTTTGCCCCGGGGCTGAGGGCTTAGTGCCCTCTCCCCATTCCAGGCTGGCCAGAGGGAGCTCCCTAGCAGGAGCCATTTCCAACCCTTTCACCTTGCCCCTACAGAAGGGATACGGAGTAGCAAAATACCCGGCAGTTTCTGGGAAGCTGCGAATTGCTGCAGTCCAGCTGCCTGCTGTCCTTGACAGACGCCACCCAGAGCAGCCCGTGCACCTTCCTGCCCCGGGGCCAAAACCCAGCCTGGGTCCTTGGGTGCTCCAGAGGTTTTGGACATGTGTGAGGTCCCCACAGGGTGGGTGGGTGTGTACACATGTGGGTGCAGGGCGTGTGGGAACACCACCTCCCTGCTTGCTGACATGACAGAGAGGAGCAGGAAGCTTGTTCCAAATGGCTAGGAGGCTTGAATTTTTGTAACACATCTTCACCGTTTTCTGGCAGGAAGGTAGGAAAAGTATCTATTGACCGCTGCTGCTAATGATCCATGCTCATTACATCCACAGCCCACTGCTGGAGGACTTGCTGTCCCGTTCAAACATCCAAAAAAAGCCACACACCCCTAAGGACAAGCACAACCATAGCACAAGCTTGCTAAACAGCCCTCTTGATTATTATCATGATTATTGTTTACAGCATGAGCATTAGCATAATACACCACTTAAGCAGGAAGGTGTTGGAGAAAGACTTAACGGGGATCTCAGTTAAACCCCTACAAGTGCCACTGGTGGAGACCTTGAGTAGTTGCCCAGTCCTTCCTTTGCCCCCAAACTCAGCCATCTCTGTTCAGAGGTGCTCATTGCAAGATGGAAATCAAGGCTTACATTACCCAGGGCTGAAACATCGCTGCTTAAGAGAGCAGCGTTTCCCACTATACAACGCAGTGCAACAGTGCACGGTGTCTCTGCTCTCCACTGGAGGAGGATTTATCCCCACGATGAAGAGCCACCTCCCAGTATTCCCATGAAGGGAATATCCTCAGCTGCAGGACTTCACAACTGAGTGCCCCCATGCTGTTTTTCCAACGGGTTCCTTGTGATTTTGGGCCCTGTTGGCAACTGTCTTTGGAGGACCCCAGTTTCTGTCCCATTGCTGCTTACAATAACGTGGCATTTTCCAAACCTAGCTGGGTGATCTCTGACACCTTTGCTTTCTTTTTGGCGTGAGGGACAACATTTTGGGATCAGACACCTAGGTAGCCAATGCTGGTGACAGAGAAGGGAAAAAATTTA